ACCTTTGATTGCAGGGTGGACATCCCCTCAGACAAAGCTCCAGACCAGTTACCTCTCACCAAGCCCCTGTGCTGGATGGAAGAGGGCTCTTCTTACCAGCTGCCCTATCAGCTCTCCTGCTGCGGGCACCTTGACCTGATGGTCGCTCCCACTAACTCTGTGCTCCAGGTGTCGGAGAGCACCCTGCATCTCTTCAGTCCAGCTGACAGCTCTGCTGCTCTTTGGGCCTGAAGAAAGCTCAGTTCTGCAGGACTTCTCCTAGTTTCTCTGCTGTGCAGGGGCTCAGCCCAGCGTGACACAGCACAGAGCCTCCCTATGGCAGGAACTGCTAGTTTCACCGGTGAGCTTCAGGATGCCTGAGTCCTTCCAACAGGTCCCTGATGTCCTGCAGCAGCTTGGTGACAGGCCTCAGGACCATGAGGGTGCCAGTCTCCCCTCACCCTCACTTCCTGAGTGTCTCCCCTGCAGACCCACCTCTGCCATTCCAGCTGTGTGTGGAGAGAGTAAAGGTAGCTGGCATCTTCTCTGCAGCCAAGATGATGAGTCTTTGGCTCTTTCCACAGCCACCACCACAACAAGAGGACATAAGAAGAGGCCACAGGGGCACAGCTGGGTCTCATATAATTGTGTTATCTGAATAACCACACAAGTGCCAGGCTTTGCTCCATGCATACAGCTGCTCTGGCTGCTTAAACACAGAACAAAGTGAACCTCACTGAAGGGCTCACAAAGTATGAAATGGGAATACTCTAATCCGGTGCACTACAACCTTGGATGCAAATATTATATTCTCCCCTCTGTAACTCTTTGTGGGCCACTTTACAGCCTGTACGTTCCTTGAGGGAAGGACTGCACATCTGTAAGTTTGAGATGCAACCAAAACAGCATGGCCTAATTGTGACCAGTACCAGAATATAACTGGGCACATTGTGGTTTCTTCAACAATTGCCCCTCCTCTCCCCACAGCCAGGCCTGACCCTCACCAGGGGGTCCTGTTCCTCCCAAAGGGGTGTTTGAGGCATACCGCACAGCCCTCCTTCTAGAAGGTGAAAAGGGCTGAATGTCAACTCCCTGGTAGCGCTGCCCCAGCCCTACTGTATTTCATCTCATTCGTGATGCTCTTTGGTATCCATCAGAACCAAAGCTGCCAAAGGCTCATCAAATACTAGTATATGAGATGTAGGATAAGTATTCATTCATCCTTACTGCCTGCATTATGGTGAGACAGAGTCAGGTTTAGTTCTTTGGGTTTTTAATTGACTTTTCCACTGGAGGATGGTCTGGAACTTGTCATCTCTCGCAGAATTACCTGCAGGCTCCCTCGCGGTCCCAGTATCTGTCCCTGGGCTCCAGGGAATCTCAGCAGGTTAATTATTTCCCAAACTCGAGGTATTTTTAGTCAGCTGGCTCTTCCTGTGTTTACCCACCAGATGGCACTCCCTCTCTTCAGATCCTGAGCATGTCTACAGGTTCTGGGCAAAGCAAGGATCTTCCCTGTCACTCATTTCATGAGACATCACTTCTAGTCCTACGCATGCATTTGCACATACTGCAGGAAGTTACTTACATTCAAAATACAAGGAGGTAGCTAAGGAAATAGCTCTGTGGTCTGGTGCACAGGCCTAGGGCCTGAAACACTTGGGATCTATTCCAGACTGTCATTCACTTGGTAAAATCACCTTTGCCGAGTCTGCCTCATGTTCCCCTTGTGTACAAGGACAAGGATATCTACCTTCTGCATGAAGCAATGGCCTCAAGATTCAACAGGGGAGATTTAGTCTGGAAATTAGAGGAACTTTCTGACTAGAGGGTGATCAAGCATTGGAACAGGCTACATGGAGAATTTGGGGAATCTCCATCCTTGGAAGTTTCCAAGAGCAGGTTGGACAGACACTTGGCCTCCCTGTGTCAGGGATGCTTCTGAGCAGGGAGTTAAACTAGATGACCTTGTAAGGTCCCTTCCCCCAGTCCTGTTTTCCTACAATCTTAAGATGGGATCCAACGATGATGAATGTTGTGGCTGCTGCAGCTGAGTTTAGTACAGGAAGGACTTGCACACTCTTGTAACATTCCTGAATTAATGTTTGTTCCTCTACTTGGATTTTAGGCACTTTTATCACTAGCAGGCTGGTGTGTGGTGGCAAAGTGGGAAGGCATGAGTCTGGGTCCTGCTCTAGATATCTGCCATATGCTGTCCTTCACCCACCAAGCTTTCAATGGGTACCTGGTCACTTGAGTGGCAGTCAAAAGCTGGCTGGACATGTTGCTGACCACTTCACTCTCTTGTGTGCCATTAGCTACAGAGATTGGTGTGCCTAAACCATGCTTGGCTGCTGGGCTGGCTGGACCTTTGAAATAAATACATGGACTCCTGGGGCACCCTTATGCACAGATACTCATAAGATGGCTGCCTGACCAGCCCAGTTACTTACTTGGGCACCTGTTAGGACTTACCCACAGTCCTTACTGAAGTCAATGGGTAGCTGTACACACCACAGATTTTAATCCTGATTAAATTAAATAGGTTTATAACATTTAAACTTATTTATTTTGGAGCCTCGCATCAGTGTTTGCACGCACTAGGTTTTCAAATGAATTAAGCTTTGGAGCATCGCATCTGTGTTTTTCAAATGAATTAAGCCTGGTCCCCAGATGGCGCTGCAGGAGAGCGGGACGTTCCAGTGCTGCCCTCCTCACCACACCCCTGGCCTGGGGCTCCCCACCCCATGCCTGTGCCCTGCCATGTAGCTGTGGAAGCTGGGAGCCAGCAAACCACACAAGAAAAGAAAAAATTGAAGCAATTCAAAAGCAAAAGCATTTTGAATGGTGAACTACAAAAAACTTGTAGTGCCATCTGATGAACAAAGAGGGTCGTTACACAGCTTTGAGTGCCTTTGTGTTTGTACGCAATGAATCCATGGACATGGTGGTTTAATTCCCAGTGAGCCAAACTAAACTATGTCCAAGGAGTTTTAGTTTAATGCACCAGAAATACTTTTAAAGCATCTGGAAATCCCACTCGTGCAAACAGGCGTGGAGTTGCAGCACAAGAAAGGGCAAAAAAAGTGGGATGTACAAAGGCCCAATGGAAACAGTGAGTGCTCCACACCTCCAACAACCTGTGCTCTCCTGTTTTAAGTGCATTTTGGAGACTAACCTCAAACCACCCACATTTAAAGTCACTGCCTACAGGAATTACATCTCTCATAGGCAGGGAGCAAAACCAGGGCGAACATGAAAGAGCCCTGCACCCTACTAGCCCTGGGCAGCTCTGCCTCTTATTTTTCATTATGTTGTTTGTACAGTTGGGATTCTGCAGGATATCTCCTGACCTTTCCTAACTCAGATTCTAAGAGGGAAGGACAAGCCGGTAACAACAACCTGGTGAACAGATGACTTCCATAAAAGCAGTAAGTCTAAAGCTACCAAAACACAAACCCTCCAAATGAGGAAAAGTGTACCAGCTTAGGGAAAAGAGTCTCTGAGCCTCTCACTCTCCCCTGGGTGCTGTACCAGCCTGCCCATCCTCTCCACTGGTCCCCAGCACTTTCTTAGTGCCCTGTTAGCTCTTGCTGCAGCTGCATCTCACACTGAAGGTTTCCTGACTAACCCAGTTATTCACCTATCCATAGATCAGTTATTCTCAGACCTTCTTTCAAGACCAGGACTCCTTTGTTCTAGGTACTGCACAGATAAGCAACGAGACTCTGCCCCAGTGTAGAGGGCTGATGCTTCTGGCTTTACTGAAGTCAAGAACAAAACTCCCACAAGCTAGAAGCCAGGATTTCACCCACTGGCTGCCACCAGTGAACAGAGACAGGTAAAAGAAGGGAGAGCTGTGGCTTGGTCTCACACTGCTTCCCACAGCAGGTCTTATGCTGTCTAATGCTGTGCTTCTGTCCAGTCTGGCTCTACATGCCAGTGCCTGCAGCTGGTTATTTACCTGGGTGAGAGCACACTGTAGTTACATACTGAACCAGCTCTGCCATACGAATTCATGGGCATCTTCATCCTCAAGGACCTTGTCCAATACGTGGCCACCCAGGGATGATGGCAGGTAAGATGACACAGCTCAGTAGATGCCTGGATGAATGCTGCAAAACCTGTTCACTCCAGCAGAGGTGCTAATCCCTGGGCAATTGTCTCTGCCAGGAGAAGGCTGGAGCATCACAGTCCCTGGCCTGCCCCGCTACTAGCCCTAGTGACCCCAACCACATTACCACTGCAGGCCATAGTGATTCATTGAGAGACAAGGGTCAGACGCTGGAAGCAGGGCAGTGCGGGAGGTTACACATGGCTACCTAATAGATTACCTAGACCAGGGGTTGGTAATGTTTTTGGGCAGAGCGCCAAATACATCTGCAACCTCAACTTGTCAGATGATGGTGTGCCAGGGGCAGATGGTGGGGGAGCCACAAGGGACCCAATCCTTTTGTGGCAGTGGAGCCCCAGCCCCTTCCCTTCCATCCACCCTCAGCAGCACTGTACCTCGACTCCTGGTGGCCCCAGGAGAACTTTTAGTATTGGGTCCCCCTTCGCCAGAGATAATGATAATAATTTTAAAATTGCCATTTTGGGGCTCCCTTTCTGTCCGGGCCCTGGGCAGCCGCCTGGTTGACCCATAACTGTGTGTGCAAAGCAAAATGCTTTGCTCAGGCACCCATGCTGGGGTTGCCTCCCCCTGAGCTAGTTTGTCTCTGCCAGACAGGCTAACAGAGGGTGCACATCATAGCCAGAGGCCTGATGCTGGCAGAATATCCTTGCAAAGATCTAGGAATAGGATTTGTAACAAGTTCACATGCAATCACACACTTAGAGCGACCACAGAATTGCTGTGAGTGTCCATCTCACTGGATGGCTGTGGTGCAAGAGAAGGCTACTAGATTAAATGAGCCCAAGTCACGGAAGGTGTTAACAGGAACCTGTCATTGTACAACACCAAACAGCTAAGCAAAGTCAGGATTTCAAGTACCAAGAGCTCAGCCTCCTCAGTCCCAGGATAAACCACCACCGTGAAAAAACTTTTATTAAAGATACAGAAAAAAAGGAGAGAAACAGGCAAAGCATTTAAAATGCACATGATCAATTAAGGCTTTCATTTTAGCAGTTCCTTTATTCCCTTTCCTCCTAGTTACAGAGGAAAATCCCCTGCCCCCTCCCATTTGGCAGTCTTTTAGATCTTTTAAATGGTAGAAACTGAAAGAAGTTAGTTGCAATAGAGATGCCATGGTCGTTATTATTGGTCTAGTCTGAGCCTGTTTCCTTGAAAACTAAATAAGACAAAAAAGGAGAAAGAAAATACCAAAACCAGAAAAATGAAGTTTTTCTTTCTGATGCTCTTGCAACCTTGCAGCAAGAGACCCAGCCCAGCACGCAGCCTTATTGGACACTCTTACCACCATGGGGTGGTGCAGGACACTGCTTTTGAGCTGCCTTTAGATAGCCTCACAGCAGTATTACACAAAATGGCTGGGTAATCCTGACTCTGTTAGCTGAAGGATAGGAAAGAAAGAAGAAACAGGGAAGGGAAGGAAAAGGAGACGCAAGAGAAAGGGCAATGGAAGGAACCCAAATCTCCCAATCCAGGGGTTGCTACGGAGCCAGTTAGTTGCTGGAGATGGCAGTCATCTGGGTCCCTCCCTTGGACTCAGGATGGTTTGGCCAACTCTCAAAATCACAATGACAAAGGTCCAAAAGTGGTAGTGTGGGTCCCAGGAGATGGGAAGGGACAGGAGCTGTGATGACAAAGCTCCCTTCTTTTAGCGTATCTGTTCTTCCTGGTTTCAATGCCAAATAATTTAGCTCAAAAAGTGGGTGATGGGCAGTTTTGTTCTCTCATTCCTGATGATTTTATTTTGGTGCACTGATTGCTGGGCCTGCACTCCTCTGGTTGACCAGACATGACTATAGCATGGTCCTTGGGTAGGAACACTGGCCTATGATTTGGATTAAACCAGGCTAACTGACTGATTTGATGAATACTTTATGTAACAGCTGAGTTGGGCTTTGCTACCATGGACTATGCAGAGGATTGGTGTTTGCACAACAGACCAACTCCCCTTTGTGCTTCTTTACTACCATGGGGCTTTCAGGCCCCTCGGCTCCTGCAGTCTTATTCCACTAAGCTCAAGGGCTGTAGGGACTTCCTTTTGCAGATTTATAATCCTAAATTTCATAGCCCTGCCTCCCTGCCCTGTCAATGCTCTGGCTCCAGAGATCTCCCAGGAAGAGGGCAAAACCTCCTGCCAAGTGCCTTGGTTTTCCCTCTACCCACTTTGAATTCTTTCCCCTCCTTAGGAGAAAGCTGAGCAAAGAAAGATGACCCTGGGGGGCATTCCTTGTGGAAATCTCAGGACATTAAGATGGCTTCCAAAGCACTGGAGAGGATGGCAGAGGAAAAAAGGTCACAAGGGCTTCACCAGCCCATATTGGGATGGAAGGAGAGGGAGCTCCTCATTCAAGTGAAAGGTCATCCCTCAGGAGGATTGCAAGGGTAAGGCAACTGCCCAAATGCCTGACCTTGTGCTGCACCAAGTCCTCTTACCTGTTTCCATGCCTCCCCTAGTGAGGACCATGGCTCTCCAAGACAGTTGCAAAAGAGAAAGGAAAGGGGAATACACCAGAGTCCCAGCAGACCAAGAGCCAGAAGCTCAGCTCCACCAAACACCCTGTGAAATCAAAGCTTTGCTGATTTACACCAGTTACACCCAAGTTTCACTGAGGGAGCAAGCAGAGATCCTTTTCTGGGAGAAAGAGGCAGAACACAGAGATATAGGTTGCAGTTCTGGGCCCTCCATGAGATTAGGCAGCTTTTGGGTGCTTCATCAGACTTGCCTTTAGTGCAAAATGGCTCTCATCGCTCGGAAGTCTGTACTCCAGACTACGGCTCCCAGGTGGTTTCATCCACCACACAAGAAGCTCGTCTGTTCCAAAGATACCTCGCAGCAAGTACCACACAAACACAGCATGGGGGGAGCTCATATGTTGGAACGAACATAAAGGTTTTGAGATGACTCCATGGTGGGACGATGCAGCGTGGTGCACCCTGGCTTTCCGTCTGGAAACTGGAGCTGGATCTGGAGCAAAGACCTTGTTTACCCTTGGTTGCTGTCAGAGGCACAAAGGACAGTGAGCAGGAACTGAAGGGTTCTTGTAACTGAGAATGATTAAGAATCATAAACTCTGCCGCTGAGTGCTGGGGGCATACCTGAAAGTGGGAAAACAGAAACTGTGGCAAGAGAGATACAGTGAGTGTTACAATCTGCAATCCCTCCACACTTAGACAGCAAGGTTAATGGGGCTTTTGAGACCTTCAAGACAGGTTTGGCCCTCAGACCAAAAGACAGGGGCTAGGTGCATTTAGGGCAGAAAAAGGCACGTTCCCTAATCTTGTTAACCTTCAACTAGATGTCAAGATTTGAAACCTAACACTCCCAATTCCAGCCCATCTTGTTCCCCACGCTGTCACCCAGTACCCATCGCAGGGGAAGGGGTCAGAGGGAGCAGGATGGTTTGTGTGTTTTACTCAGTCTTGTTGTGCGAGATCTCCAGGTGTCCCCTTGAAATCAGAGCACGGCAATCAAACATTGACTGCTCAGAGCCGAGGTCTGTATTAAGATTCCAACTAAAAGCAGTTGGTCCATCTGGTTTATGGTTCAGCTGGTTGGTGCACTGTCAAGCCACAGGACAGGTGCTTAAAATGGGGACTAAGAATGTCATTTAAATGGCCTGAACTGTGACACAGACATTGTGAATATTCTCCCCCACAACTCCACACCCATGCAGCAAATGCAGCACCGCTAAACCCTGCAGCTTGGCCATTGTACTGTGCTTTGTGATCTGTCCTCTTCCTTGCTGTCCGCTTCTGCCAGCTTTGCTACCTGCGCTTACGTACTGTTTGGAGTTTGCTTTGAGAGATTCTTTTATTATTATCACCTCAAATACAAATGATTAGTTGCAAACCTAAACAACTACATATTTCCAGTTTGGGGAAGAGTCCAAATATATGAGTTTGTCCCTAGTGGGACTGTGAATTCAGGTTTTTTGCAGTGAATTTTTGGATCAAATCTTTCAACCTGCCTGGCTATAGATTTACACCATTAACTATTGGCAGCCTAAGGGTTAACCAAAACCCGTTACCATGATGCGATTTGGGGTCTGTTTGTTTGTTTTTATAAGGCAAATCCAAAGCAACGATTCCACCCTAGACACGAGACCCACTCCTACACTTTGTGCACTCTTTCATTTGAATTCCAAATGCTTCAGCCAACTGCAAAAAATATGTAACTTGATTTGACCTTGTACCCTGCTAAAAGAGATGATTAGTCATCAGCAGTATTTAAAAGATGCTTTTGGACAGCATATAGTGTAGCTGGCTGGCAGCTGCTAGAGTTGAAGCTGATCTAAAAGGGAGTGGGGCAGAGGAGAAGAAATGAGAGCAATAAAACGATGAGCTGACAGCTCAGTTAATAATTTATCATCAAAATATGACTGCAGGAGCAGAATACAGTTCAGAGTAAAAATTCCCTCTTCAGATAGATTTCCTCCGGAGGCGGGAGTGGCCCCTGCAGCTGGGGCTGTTGGAAGATAATGTGCTCCCTGGGGAAGAGAACCCAGTTTGATCCCTGGTGCTCAGGGAAACCTCATCAATTTTGTAAGAAATGGAATTATAGTACACGGGGTTGGTGTGGCAGCTGAGGGTCTCGGGATGGGAGGGTGCAGGGCTTCCACATAGCCGAGGTCTGTAGCACAGGCACGTGCAGAAGGAAGGGACCCTGGTTGCAGAATTTGAAGACTGGCGCCTCTGTCTGTCAGTGTCTTCCTGGATCAACGGGATGAGGTTCATCTGGCTCGTCCTGTCTTCTGCAGGTAGAAAAATAGCATTTCTGCTCTTACTGTCTTCTTTCAGGTGGACATTGTTCCTGGCTCTCCTCAGCGATGCCCTCTCTTCTGCATCTCGTCTCTCATCTTCTGAGTTCATGGTCAAAAACCTAAGCACGACCAAGTTAAGGAAGGCTCCAATCACTGTCAGGCCAACTAAAATGTACATGAAGCTGAAAGCCACATAGGGCGGCTTCTTCTGCAAAGCTTCGTTCTTCTGCAGAGCCACGAAGTCCCCAAACCCAATAGTGGTCAGGGTTATGAAGCAGTAGTAATAGGCGTGAAAAAAGGTCCAGCCTTCAAAATAGGAGAAGGTGGCTGCTCCAATGCACAGTGTGCCCATGCAGGAGAGGAAGCCAACCAAGACCATGTTTTCCATGGAGACTTTAGTGGTCTTCATGCCCAGACACTTCTTAATTTTCTTCAGCAGCAGCCGGACGACTGTGTTCATGCGTTCCCCAAGACTCTGGAACATAACCAGGGTGAGGGGGATGCCAAGGATTGCATAGAACATGCAGAAAACTTTGCCAGCATCTGTGCCGGGAGCAGCATGCCCATAACCTGCAAAGGAAAGAGAAAGGCAGGCAATGCTTAAACACACAAAGAAGCAGTGGAATCCCACAGCCAGACTGCGGGCCGAATTCCAGTTCTGGCAGAACTGCTGGGAAGAGGAGAGAGACAGTAAGCAATGCTTGCAAACAGACTGGCGCCCTACTGTTCATGCTTACTGGCCTTAGGACTCTATAGCTATCCGCAACATCCGGCTTAACATTTCTGCATCACAAGGATTGCAATTTGGTATATAAAGAACTAAGGGGCCCCTTCTGCACTCCATGAAAGTCTCTGAGCTTTCATAGGAGTCATGGAGGGCAAGCTTAAGGCACAGCTACATAGTCAGAGGACTCTGCTAGGGAGCGCCACATTGAAGTAAGTCATGCCCACTCTGCATGCCGCACCCTGAAAGAGCTGTTTTCTTGGGCATGCTTATGGGGGCATGCCCAGCACCACACTAAGGGTGGTAACATGACATCTGTTTCAGGGTACAGGGATCGGCCATGGTGTGCTTCACTGCAGTGCTCCCTAGCAGTTCTTCAGCGGTTGAGCTACGACCATAACATCTGGTTTAACTCTACTGACTCCTATGGACTTATTTCTGATCTATGCCAGCACAGCTGAGACAAGACCCAGACCAAATTACTCCCTTGCCATCCATTTTCATTTTTACTGCTTTATATATAAAGAAACATTTCCTGAGTCTCCAAAACCTGAGCTAGGGAAAGTGCAACATTTTCTGTCCTGATCAAAGGAGTTTAATTTCCTTGCTGTATTTTACGCTTTACAGCCGTAACTGTTTGTCAAGGAGACAAACAGTTCCAGTGAGATCATAACAAGGTGCTCATTGCCATTCTCCGGCTATTCGTGATTTTGCACCACCTGACTTAATTGTATATGCTACACTGAAATTTGTAGCTTCTGCCCCAAATGGATGAGTAACTAACTCCCCATAAAGGAATGACACTGTATCACGCAAGCAGCCAGGATAAAGGGAGGAGTTATCAAAAATCTTCTATGTTTGAGAAATTAATAGGGATAGAACCTTTTTTTTTTCCAGACAGGTTTATAGCCTAGAACAATACCCATTAATTGAAAACGGTTTGGTAGCAGTTCATTCCCCATGTGGTGGTACAGGATTTTTAAACCAATCATTTAAATTTCTCACTTTTTTCAGTTATGCAAATGAATGGTGTGAAGAATATGGGAAAAAATGCACATCCAGAGACATTCTATTTTTAACTCAATGCTACAGACTTGGCTTCTCCTACACTTGCAGGGGCTAGGGTTTTGCAGTTGTTTTTAAAGAACCTGTCAGTTTGCCACTCAGGAAAGATCAGGAGCTGATTTACATGTGTCTTGGGTAGATCCTCCTGTGTACCTTCCTCTGCAGGAAATTATTGCCTTGAAGTCAGGTCACAAATCAGAGTACTACACGATCACTGAATGTGGGAAATTCATGACTGCAACATTTGGAGGGGGAGAGTTTCCAGTTGGGATGTCTATATGCCAACAAAATCAAATGAGATCAAATTAAATTTTGTCTAGCACATTTTTTGCTGAATGCAAACTGGAGTAAGAAGCAAGTGATAGGGAAAATGATCAATCTTTACCATAATATCTGGCTGCTATTACCAGGTCCTAGGATACAGGAGGATGCTGCGAGAGCACCTAGGTGAGAAATAGCTATCACAAGTGACACTGGAGAAACAGCTGTTGTGCCCCTCAGCTGCTCTTAAAAGAAGATATGACAGATGCTTTCAAAGTGACAACGAAAAAGTAAACATAGCTTTGTTAATGTTAAACCTCAGATTCAGGGCCTGGATCCAGTTAAAGGGATCTGATACACCACTATTCTAGGAATGAGGGATATACACAGTGTCGGGGGCAAAACCTTAGGCATCTTATTTGTGAGGTTCAGGAAACAATCATACTTCTAATTATGAAAGAAAAGCAAATGAAGTGCCTGCCTGAGTAAAAATCACTATCATCTGTCACAAGGATATGGGTTATTTCCTTGAAGCTGGGAATTCACCTGATTGTGATGGGCATGACTTAAAAGCCAAGCTCTCTAAATGCACAGCTGGGCTCAGGTCATGTTTATAATCAATGACGGAAAATACACAGCACCTACACAATGCTTTCCTACTGCACAACCGCTTGGTATATTTTAGCTGCCGTACTGCTCAGTGGGGTGCACCCCGTTTTATAGAAGTAAGCAATTAGTCTGGTGACAGCATGTTGGCAGAGGCTGCGACTAGATGTCAGAACTCGGCATCAAGGCCATGTTTCCACATAGCTCAAACAACACAGAGGGGCACCAGGAGCCTAGCTGGGTTATGTGGGCACACTCAGAGCCAGTCGCCTGAATGAACTGAAGGTGTGATTTTAAATGGACTGGTTAAATTAAATGGAGCTGAGCCCGCAGGAATTCATTCACAATCTGAGCGGCTCTACTTCCCTTTGGCTTAACCCGCTTGCGCAGTAAACAAAACAACGCAAACGACGGCCGCTTTACCTCTGATTCGCAGAGCCTTCGGGGGGATTTACCGCGGCTTAATCATCCCCTCTGAAAGTTAATTTGGATTACATTTCCCTGAGCGTCCCCACACAGATAAGCCTCTACGACGTGACGCGGAGGCTGACGCTCTCCACGCTACAGTCAAATGACCCGACTTGGAGAAGACGGGACCAGGCGGATCCCAGCGCCCAAGCAGTCGACAGGGCTGGCGCTGCCCCCCACTGAAACGTGCCCAGTTCTTGGCCACCTCTCTCAGAGCAGCAAATTTAGACCCGTCCGTGTGCACCTGTTACCAGAAACCAGAACGCACCAGGCCGGTCCCCACCACGGCTCCCCTCCATCCCAGCCCGCTCCTGCCGCCTGCGCCTGGGCTTTTGTGTCTGTGAGACGCTGGCGCGGCACCGGTCCTCGGGGCTTTGCATTTCCGTCCCCGCTTCCAGCCCAGCACCTCAGCCGCTGCTGCGCCCACTGAGGCGGCTTCGCAAGAAACCCAAGGGCGCCGAAAGTTCACCTGGCCCCAGAGATGCCTGTGGCTCCGGCCGGCCTGTCCCGCCCCCCACAGCCGCGGAGAGCGGCGCCGCGGGCGGCACTCACCGATGGTGGTGATGACGGTGATGGCGAAGTAGAAGGAGCCGGCGAACTTCCACTGGCGGCCGGCGCGGTGCGGCTCGGCCTGCAGCACGAGGCGCTCGAGCTCGCAGTAGTCGGCGGCCGAGAAGCGGTACTTCTTGCGCAGCTCCCCGCGCTTCTGCTCCAGCAGCCGCTTGCGGCCCGTCTCGGCCTCCGACTCCAGCGCATCGAAGACGGCGGCGCCCACCAGCAGGTAGAAGAGGATGCAGAGGATCAGCGACGCCGTGCGCAGGTCCTGCCGCTT